AGCTGCTCGCTTGATAAATAAGGAAATCCAACTTGTGAGACCTTCTTTTCTCTTAATAATGGCTACTAACTGATAACTTACGACTTTCTATACATAAGCGGATCTGGAATATGAGGTAAGGAGGTTTCACTTCTTTTTAGGTCGGGATAAGGCCAACTCCATTTCCTGGGTGAGCTTCTTTTTGTTTCTTTTGTTTTTATTGTTTCAATTTATGCAAGCGCCTTAAAATTCCTATCGTCTGAACTGTTCCAACTTCCAAAACATTTATAGTTTACAAGTCGAGTTCAAACAACGAAGAAAAAAAGAAAAGAAACTCACCTAGGAACCAAAACACTAATCATTTTACGCAACATCAACAGGTGAAAACTTTATAACCTCATGTATAAGCTCGACGAATGAAAAAAGAAACAATAAAAACCTACTAAATGAAGCTCTCACGCTTTTTGCTCATTTCTATCCTGAATCAAGAAAGAAAATAGAAAACAAAAGCCATTAAGTTGGGTTCACCTTTCTTTGTGTCAAACCAAGCTTCAGTATCTAACTAGGGAAGGTCGTCAGGTCGAAGTGGCCATTTGTAATGAGATGTAGCTCACTAGACGTGGTTTTGGACGCTGATCTCGAATCTGCCTTCGAAATTTGCAGAACGATTCTCTGAACGGAATTATGAAGGTTTGTTAGAATTAAAATGAAGGAAACAGAGTCGAGCGCGGTTGCCGGCCAATTCGCATGAATAGCCGGGAAGCACCATCACGATCAACGGCGGCATGGTGTAGTGGCAATGGTCTTGCTTCGCGGGTATGCTATGAAGGGTTCGGATTTCTGGAGGGGAACTTGTTTTGCATTTTGTGGGGAATTCTCTTTTAAGTCTAGAAAACACTCAAACGCCAAATGGGTGCCATATTCGTGTTCAGGGAGCAAAACTACCCTTGGGGACAGGTTTCTAGCCAGATGTGAGGTTTTGACCTAACTTTGAAAAGTCGAATGATGGTCACCAATAGTTCCAGGGCCAGTCTCTTGTCGATTGCTTGTCTTTGGACGGAATTTGCTTTTAGATACCAGGAAAACTGGAGCAGTAACAACATGAATGCGTAAGAAGTGGCAAGACGAGGCTTTGTGCAGGAGAATGTATCTGCAGCTGAATAGGTGTGAACATCAACTGAACTAACCCATGGATGCTTCACTTTTCGAAGTCAGGTCAAAATGCCAGATTTGGCTAGAAACCTCTACCTAGGCGTAGTTCGCCCCCATAATACGAATATGGCACTCGCTCAGCGCGAAAACGCCTGCACTGCGCGCCAAGGGCACCTGTACATCTCCTAGATCATAAGGCACTAAGCGCGCCAGTAAGCGAACGCAAACTGTTTTTCAGGCAAGTCAAGGAGAGCGCTAATGTAGTAGTGACGCTACAACCACTTTTTGCCACGTTTGCACAAGAAGCAAAAAAGTTAAGCTCAGCAGGGATCCGATCCCATGACCTGTTGCGTGGTAAACGCGGCTCCATAACTCCGTTCAGAGAATCGTTCTGCAAATTTCGAAGGCAGATTCGAGATCAGCGTCCAAAACCACGTCTAGTGAGCTACATCTCATTACAAATGGCCACTTCGACCTGACGACCTTCCCTAGTTAGATAAAATGGGTAAGAAAACTGACCTGATTTCGGAAGAAAGGGGCATTAGGGGTAAATTATATCAAGCTGTTGGTAATGTAATATATACCATTTTCACTTTAAATTCGCCCTTTTTCAAACCAAATTCGTCCTTTTTCAAACCAAATTCACCCTCACTCTTCATCAAACCACACTTATTAGGGCGGGCAACTCATCAACCAGATCACGCCAGACATCACTGCGAGCCCCGCCCCGACGGCCACGCCCACTTGTCAGCGCGGACATAGATTCTCAAATCTTGTTTCATAACTTCTGCACCCTTTGACTGGAAACCACCGTGCATTCACACATGGCCGACTCCGCCCATTCTCTAAAGGGTTTGGCACTCTAGGCTGACCACGCCCACTGGCTTTTCGCGGAATTTCGATGTTTTTTCAAAATTTTTGCAATTTAGGGTTGCTGCGTGAAGCCCCGCCCTTTGTGAGATGCTCCGCCCACTTTGAATAAGCCCCGCCCACTTTTCAAAAATGGTGCAGATCGGCAGTATAGAGACTTGGCTTGCATGTTAGGGTATTGCTGATCATTCGGAATAAACTTTGCCGGATTTTCTTGTTCCGAGTGACGTACGAGACCCTAACATGCGTGGTCAGCCTAGAGCGACCTTCAGAGAATGGGCGGAGTCGGCCATGTGTGAATGCACGGTGGTTTCCAGTCAAAGGGTGCAGAAGTTATGAAACAAGATTTGAGAATCTATGTCCGCGCTGACAAGTGGGCGTGGCCGCCGGGGCGGGGCTCGCAGTGATGTCTGCGCCCTAATAAGTGTGGTTCTTGATGAAGAGTGAGGGTGAATTTGGTTTGAAAAAGGACGAATTTGGTTTGAAAAAGGACGAATTTGGTTTGAAAAAGGACGAATTTGGTTTGAAAAAGGGCGAATTTAAAGTGAAAATGGTATAATTGCATAGAACTAAGTATCACTGAAACCACTGGTGGGTCTTGTTCCGAAACTAAACTGTTCTGGAACTCAGCGCTGTGGGAAGCCCTCGCTGTGTTCGGAGCAAAGACGCGCCTCATAACACAGAAATCGGAGTATTATCACAGGAATGATAAATCACGGGCAAAGGTCTCGGCCCCATATGATGCTCGAACCCGCATTTGACGTCGTCACACTAGGGTCTTATGTCACTGTGTTGAGACTACGAATTTTCTCAATAAAGCATTATCATTCCAGGGCACAATATCTTCTTCACTGTTGATGTCGCTATTGAGAACGCTATCAGATTTACGGATATCTGTGAAAGCCTTAATCGTTCACAATTGCCAGTGTGAATGTACGGTGGAGGAGTTTATCAGTTTCATCAAGTGCACAAAGGTTGAAATGTTAGCAATCGATGTATTCGAGATGCCGGAATTTGGGCAGTCACTTGCAAAACAGGAAATAATTCGGAATGTGAGCTCGTGGATTTTTTCATTCGTGATCACTGAAACAAAAGTTCACTGCATCATTTCCAGCTCACCTGCTCGCTTGTTTATATTAATGGCGATGACGTGATCAGTGGGATCGTGGTTAATTCCTTCTATGAAGGCTCCATAGAACTGACTGGATTCTCCAGACTTCTTACCGTGAGTTATTCAGTAGGGAAGCGGACTTTTCGTCGATAAGGTCGTGTTCATACTTTGAGGCACTGGTGAGTCGGAGAATCGAGGAATGCCCGCTAAAGAAAGGTGCATCCATTGACTGATGATTTGAGAGTATAGGAAAAAGGGTGAATCGGAAGAATGTGCGTCAAAGGAGTAGATGGAAACTGCTCAATTCCTATCGCCGGCGCTGTAACGCGCGTGGACCAGCTACGATTACCAGAGCGCTACAAAACTATAGACGCGAAAGCAGACGCAGACGGGCACGTGCCAATCGATACCTGTCCGTTAATAGGCGACGCCTACCACCCTACTCCCTCGTACTCTCTCGCAATACAAGTGCCCGACGCCCATCGTTCGAATTTTCGCTGACGGGAATCGACCAACACCGGCTGCATACGCGTCTGTAGCTTTGGAGCGCTGTTGCGATTGTAGCGCGTCGACGCGCGTTACAGCGCGTCGTCGCGCGCATCGCAAAACTAGTATGCTGCCTAACTCTCCTGTGTCACAAAGTATGAACGTAACCTGAGGTGTTCACACAATTGAGAGTACTTGCCAGCTGTTTCTACGTCACATCATTTTTTTGGATTGCTACCATGAAAGTGTTCTCATCCCAGGATTGGGGCCACGGATGTATGGAAATCCTCCACTTCCATATGAATATCGATAGTGAAGGATCAGCAGATGTCACGACGGTTTGGCAGGATTCTGGGCACTTTCGTTGTTTACGAGGGTGTGTCTTGAAAAACAGTGACAACCAGGAATTGTTTGTTGAGGCGAAGAATGGTAAGTTAATGCTCACACCGGTAAGACCATCCGAGGAGCCTCAAGCGGTTTGATCGCATGGGTTTGGTCGTCGCTTTAGGCTTGCATTGTAAGTAACTGTATCAAATATGCCTTTTGTACCGTTGTAAATAATGTAGAGCCACTAGGATTGTATACGATGTGTGGCAACGTGTCATATGTGCTTTATCACTTAACTTAAAGACAGCGCCCGCGATCGCTTTTCGCGGGTTGTAGAGCTTATAACCATTAGATCATGTTGTAAATACAATACTAATGAAGAAAAAAGTAAAAGAAAGCGTTGACAATGCCTTAAAAAGCCTCATGTACTTGACTGAACGAGTTAATTAGACTTTAGGCGAGTTCTCCGTATCTAATAGCCACTTGCTACGGCGCATTCGTGAAGCATATTCGATAAGATTAGCAATTATCACCGCTAACGAATCTTGGTAATCAAAAAATGATCGAAGTGGAACTTGTTGACTCCGCCTATGAGGGCGGAGTCGGCTTATCTTTGCTTAGCTGCTATCTCCTACTCTAGAGGACTTCTGCACCTTGGTTGATCGCGGACGCTGTCTTTAAGCTTCTAACTTACCAATCTGTGCTTTTCTGAATGTCTTCCTGATGCCTCGACATCAAAAAGGTGGAGGAGAACCGACTCGTTTGGCTTTGCGGTTCCTTTTTTTGTCATGATCTCACTGATATCCCACTAGTGGAAGGGTCTGCATAGCTTTCTACGGATGCAGAAGAAGAGCGGGCAAGAAAGTATTTTTGCTTATGGAGCGCACTAGTTGAGTTCACGTCGCAGAAAGTGACAAAGTAGCATTCTGAGCCCTCGGTGGAGCCCTGATTCAATGCCCTGATCCCGCTGATTACATCCAGCATCGTTCCAGTACGTATGTCGACCAGCTTCATCGATTGTATCTACCCACCATATATCGGAGATAGAGTGGGCGTGGCGGTGTTCTTGGTTAAACGTGTTGTTTGCTGCTCTTTTGGTAGAATTTTCGGTAGCGTTTTGATTCTACATGTGTCCAGAAACAGAGAGACAACTGCTTCAAACGGAAATCGCACTATACGTCAGGTTCAAGTGAGGTACGCAGCCGTCCATCTTTGGGATATGGAGTGTGCTCATGAGGAAGAAATCGTGAACCATAGCGACCGTAGTCGTCCAGTCTTAAGGTCAACGGGCTATAGTTGGCGCAATTCGGCGAGTTGTAGGGGGGAGGGGGCGTTTTGCACTTTGATGCTTCCCATCGATGTGTCGAGTTATCGAAAGATATATCTCATGAGCTCATAAAAATTGACAGTTTTTACCATTGTGGCTCCACCAGTACTCGAGCTTCACTATAGTTGACATGTTTCGCCAGAGTGAGACTTGTAAACCAGAACTAATGGAGCATCGAATTTGCAGAATGTCTCCCTCCCCCCCCCCCTCACCTGTCGCCAACAGTTTGTCGGAGGCTGTTCCTGAAAGAGGTCATTTCAGCTGCTCAAGACCCAAGCACCGTAGGTCTGGAGTTCGTCTACGATGGTGAATGCTTTATCTTCTCAAAATGGTGGTGATTTTGGGTGGGGTGGGGACTTAATCCTGCTTATTCAGGGATACTGAGCATTGCTGAACCGCGAAGCACCGTGTGACCTCCACGTAGGCTTTACTTGTGCGCGCTATGAACAATACGACTTTTTTGCCCTATCTACAGATTATGTATAATAATTTCAAAGTTCTCTAGCTCTTTTTTTCTGTGATAATCCTGGTGCGTATGGTAATATTTGATGATAACAATTCTTGGGACCTACACCTATATGTTTTGTATATATTTGAAAGATAGCGAGATATAAAGCTTTCTGTGCCCGCTAAATTCAGATTATTCATCTCACACTCATAATAGGTTCCTTCGAGTACTTGTTTTGAAATGCGGATGTGCCGCATACCAGCTTATACCACGCAGTTGTTCAGCCTTAGCTCAAGTCCCATCATACTCACCAGGGAAGGATCTTGCGGATTAAGTGATGGGACTACACCATCAGACGCATATTTAGATCGGAAATTTGCTTTCAATACCTCTGAACAGAGCTATGAAGGTTCTGGACTACGAGAGGGCGTTCTGCCACACTACACTCAGCCCTTCAATAATGACGTCGGCTACGACCGCTCCCCTGCAATCGTGCCCATGGCAGATATCTGAAAAGTGTAGCCGTGGCGGTATGGAACAATGGAAGCGGGTTTGTCTCGCAAACAGGGCCGAAGGATTGGTTGCTTGTAGGCCTTACATCACTATTTTTTTTCAGAAGCATTTCCATTAGGTTGGCGGGAAAGTTCTGTCACTATTTTTCGAACTCAAATTACTTGCCCATTACCAAACGGGTAACGTAACTTCTTATATAGAGTGGTCTTTTTATTAGTACCACTCGCTTGCCTCTTGCTTCTTCTTCTGCAATATGCACAAGGATTTTATCCGCTACCATCAGCACCGACCCCTCCAAACGCTTCCTCAAACTCTTTCTCCCACCACCCTGACGCCAGCGTGTTAGCTGCAGATGCCAAAATAATGGAGCTGAATAAGCACGATGCCCTCAATCATCGGGCAACCTTACCACGACAGAAACTCTTCAAAGCGGGAGCCTAGGGAGCCTAGAGTTTTGATGACGAAGTGAGGTTCGGGTTACCTGCATCGCTCCTTCGAATAGCACATTACTTCCGTAATCAATCGTTATGTGGACGAGAAAATCTCCATAACCCAAGTTCAAGTCGAGGTTGAGATGGTGTCCAACTTTGCGTCGTGCCTCCCTGCATTGTGAAGCGATGGCATCCATGAGGTGCTCAAAAACTGGCAAGAACCCCGCAGTAACATTGCTGTACAATTTTGATCTTACACGCCTCTCTATAAAAGAAAGATGATTCGAAAAAATGGACAGAACTTTCCCGCCAACCTAATAGTGGAACTTTGACGTTGCTAGAAAATCAGTGTTTACATATACTTGCCTGTACAAATAGTTTTCAACGACGGCATCCGGTCCAGAAGAAGACTCAAAAGCAGTTGGCACGATGGTTTCCTACTTACGAGGGAACCCCAAGAGGTCGATCCGGCCATTTACAATGAGATGTATATATGTGGACGTGTCTTGAGCCGCTGAATCCGAATCTGCCCTCCGATTTTGCGGAACGATTCTCTGAAGGGAGTTACGGACCATTTAATCTTTGCTGTGTTTGCACAAGCTGACCAGGAAAGGCCAACACGTCAGCCCGGCCATTTGCAACGAAATGTACATCATTGTACTCACCTTGCCACGATGAACACAAGACTATCTTTAAAATTTGCGGAACGATTCTCTGAGCGGAGTTGTGAGGTTTTTCTTTATTGCTTTTCTTCTTCCGGGCGCGCCAGCGCCAAAGCGTTAGCACCTGTAGCGCAACTCACAGCGCTCTTCGCGCAAAACAGGTATCATATTCGTGTTCAGGGGTCAAATAACCCCTAGAGACGTCACCCCAGCGGAATCCGAGGTTCTAACTCATTTTCGAGAAAATGGGTTATGAATAGCTGTGGCTGACTGATAGCCAAAGCGATACTACGACTACCATACTGATGATGACTGGTTTTCCAACTGAAATACCTCTTCATGTGCCTTTTCGCAAAGACATTACCCGGCTTACTTATTCTTGCCGTTTGCATCATCGTCCTCTTTACCACGAGGTAGTTCCATCTCGAGACCATTCACCAACGGTAGGTGAGCTCCCCTATGCTTTCGATTACCCATGAAACAGCACACATTTTCCAAGTTAGGTGGAAATATCAGATTCGGCTAGAAATTTGTCCCCAGGGGTAGTTTGACCCGCTGAACATGAATATGATGGTATTTCATTGCAAAAACCCTTGTGACATGTGGTTATCCTCATAATAAAAAAGTTTTCAAGAGGAACCCTACATGGGGAATCGCCCGCCTTTCGTTGGCAACTAATCAAGAAATTAGGCGAAATGGCCAAATAGAAATTTCGGAGGGCTCATACCAAGTGTTTTGAATGAAAAGCAAAAGATTTCGATAGCTAAGGATTCCAACATTCGACCTCGTGTCTCTGAAGCAATGCACTTATCCACTAGGCCATCGGCGGCTTGCCGCATGCAGTTATCCTTCTCAACTTGAGCAAACGGAGCTAAGATTAAATGGTCCGTAACTCCCTTTGGAGAATCGTTCCGCAAAATCGGAGGGCAGATTTGGATTCGGCGGCTCAAGACACGTCCATATTTATACATCTCACTGCAAATGGCCGGATCGACCTGTTGGGGTTCCCTTGTTAGCCAATGCTAGTAGGGCGCTGTATAGTGGGGAAATGGCGAAAGAACGGAGTGAAACGGTCAAAATCCTGCGAAGAAAAGCCTCCGTTCTCAGTGACTTGAAAATCGATTTCGGACGAGTTTCCGTAGATTTCATCTCATTTGATTTTCTCGCCAATCATCGCTACCGAATATACGGATACATATATTAGGTTGTTCGAAAAGTCCTGCGACACTTTGACCAATTTTTCGGACTAAATTTTCAGTCACTAAAAGACATCTCCAATCTACAAGGTAATCACCACTAAGGACTAGGACTAGTGCCCTTCTTTTGCACAGCTTCTCATTTCCATTCTTATAGAACTACGGCAACTATGATAAGAAGAGGTGGACCTCATTTTTGAGTAGACGTCGATTTTCGGAATTTTTGCCTTCTTAAGGATGCGATAGGGATCAAAAAAGGTAGTAGTTAGAGACTGCTAACTTTGATGAATAAGCTGGGTATGGTCGCATTCTCAGATCAAGATCCACGATCTTTTGGTGTGGCCTGATCCTAACATGCGGTCTTCGCATTGCCGAGCGGTAGAGAAAAATTGAGTATTTTTGAAGAATTCAAGCGTGACGTCATCCATGTTGTGAGGTTGGTTAGAGTGGACTGTAGTCCTTACCGTTATGCTAGTATCCAGAGATACCGCTTTGAAGTCCCACCAATAACCTACTGAAATCTTTATCCCATGCACATCTGCTTTTGGCTGTGCAATCTACTTTTCTCTCTGAGAGAT